TCCCAGGTGTGCGGGACTGTTGCAAGTGAGGGGCTAATTATGACCTTGAAATTGATGGGCATCTCTTTTTTATCCTTTTTTTAACTTTTCTATTCTTTCGGTGAAGGGGGAATGGAGGAGGAGGAGTATCAGAGTTGCGTAAATTTCAAAAACTTGCATGAAATGTAATCATCCCTGGACCCGAAAAGCTTTCAATAAGATTCAACCTTCTTCCTCTTGTCTCTCAGTCGAAGAAGAAATAAAATATGCATTCTCGAAGGCTCGGAATTTTCTTCCACGAAAAAGTGATAGATTTGAATGAGTCGTGAAAGAATTTCCACTATACGTGAGATAAGAGAAGAGAGGAGAGAGACGAGGGGGTGTTGAATATACTGACCACGTACTAGAAGTCCAGGCAAGCTAGATTTCAGACTGGAAAGTTTGGAAATTCAAATTATGGGAATGGGCGGAGTGTGTGATCTCTTAACGTAGTTAGAGGTGACTAATCGTCATGTTCGAGATGTGTAGTCCGGTCTGCGTGGGTCAGAATCAATGGATGTTGAATAAATGACTTGATGATTCGCATCGATGTATATGAGCTATCACTTCTGCATCGAAGGATTAGTAGTGAATTGCATATATTTCTCGTCGGCAGAAGAAAAAGTCTTGGAACATAGGTAATAATTGGGACTCGCTCCCGCCCCCACTGCACCGCATATTGGTGATGTCACCGCCATCACTGCGAAATTTTACTTTTAGCATAAGTATCGCATTTCCCACAGAACACAAGAGCTCACAGTAGACTACTATGTGCAAGAATCAGTATCATTGGTAGTGCGAAGCCGAAAGGTATACCATTCTTGATTTGAAGATTTGAATGAGCTATTCTTCGATCACTAGAGATGTACCCAGAGTAGACTTTGAGGTTCCAAGACTAGTATCGCATTTTGGAAGGCTCGTTGAGAGTTGAGCGCGGAGTTCCATACGAATAGTCGTAGAATGTAAGCATTCCGAGTCTTGACCAGACGACCAAATTTCAGGATATCAAGATCCTGGGAGCTCCACACGGAGATTCGGATGCCAAAGCCCGTTTTTGGAATTCTTTGACTCTAATTTTCTTTCTTGCACACACTTTGACCTCCTAGTTGTCTCACAAAGCCGAAGTCTCGCAAAGAGCAAGTGATGATTGATTAGCCTTGAGTTCCGGGTCCTAATCTCTATACTTGTCGGAGATTTGTGGGGGTGGAGGTGATGAAGACATGGCGTGAAATCCGTAATCGTAAGCACACAGATCGTGGGAATGGACATGAGAATTTGCTGTGAAGGTGACGGGATAGTTGTAGCTCATAGGTGTCATTGATGAGTTGCTTTTCAAAAAGAAGATGCTATGTCGGCTGGATGTCATGGCGTTTTTTTCCTGCTGTTCAAATTTAGTAAGGCACGATGATTGAACTGTGCAAAGAGTAATTACCATGCTTGATTCTGTCCGTGTAGCTGTTTGTGAATCTCATGTATTCAAGCGCAGCATTAATTCATACTAAGTCACCAAGTCACTAAATCATCAAATCAGATCACCCAGTCACCATGTCATTAAAACACTCAAAAATTAGTGGAATAGTAATTTCTCTAAAGTATTTTCGCAAAGAAATCCTCCCGACATGTTCCAGTGTCAAATGTCGTTATTTTAAACGCCCGCAAAGTGGTTTAGTTCAAAAACCTCAATATTATTCATCCATCCAACCCTGAAAACACAAGTATGAAGGAAATAAGGAAAATGTGAAGGTAGAAAAATGAAAGACGATTATTAAAAAGGCCCCTAATGGGTAAGAAGATAAGTGGTGAGTGAGTAGAATGTGCGAAATTGCACTGAAATATCATGGTAAACGTCTCAAAAAACCGGAAATAGCCGTCGTGGTTGTTCATGCGGGAATGAAACACCGGGTGCAAACGTCCGAAACAGATTGAAATTGATATCTCTGTTGTGCGATTCAAGGAGAAGGAATGGCGTGCAACACTAGACCATTGTCTGGAACGAAACTGTCAATGTAGCGTATACCATCGTAGGAAATTAAAATCGTACCCGTGAAAAGCTGGATCGAAGCGGAGCATTGGTGATGTGGTAGGGCGTTAGATCGAAGACGACTGGTATCAGACCAATTTATGAATCTCTCGTGAACGTTACCGAAGTAAGATGGGTGTTCATTGATGATAGATCGTGAATGGAAGGTGTCGAAGTACCAGTCCCGGGTGAACATTAGTAACGTGTTATCCAGAAATGGAGAGGTGCGTGGTGGAAAAAAGACCAAACCCAGTCATATAACGAAGCAGTTCCATCCAGCGACAGCATGGGGAGGATGTGGCTTGTTCCAGAGTTCATAGAACAACCATTAATGCCATCTAACAACGAACAAAGGCATATGAAATGTGTGCCAAAGCCGAATGAGTGACAAAGATGCACTTATCTAGAGACGGAGAGATGCATGATGTATAGAGTCTCATACCATAATGAGAACTGATGTATAACCATCCTGCAAAAAGGAGATGGATATGAGCGAGATCTCAGCCAGAACTGTACATCGATGGCATGTTATTCGGAGGAGAAGAAATGCACCATGGATAAAATCCATCCACGATCCAACAAGTGCATAGTATCCAGCACAAAGATGATAAGAGAGGTATCCGAGAATATGACCATGAAAGCTACATTGATGTGGTTTCAGCCGAAGATGACACGATGGTGATGAAGGAACCCCAATCTCCATGCACTGAAGGTATCATAACCATCCCAAAGACAACAATAGGAGTCGTTGAGAACACCAACACCAGAACACCACTAATGACATTCAACCCGAAGTATGCTGAATGATGGTGCATTATAGCCAAATCCCAATGTAATGAACCACCAACTACCAGGCAAGGAGATTGAGATAGCACTTGATGAAGTGTAACACCGAAACAGCATCGAAGAGATTCAAACCGAAGGATTCCAGATAGTGATGCGTGATGTACAAATAGCATCAGGTAACTTGAAGAATGCCGGTCGAAAAGATCAAGATAGTAGACCATGATCTATCTAGATGAAGTTGATGCATGAGGTGTGTTGATCAACGCATACACAATGAGGTGTGACTGATGTGGAAGTTGCGTTGGATATTTGACGGATAAGGAAGGATGAATGAAGGTGTAGGCGACAATTGGCGATGATTGATGAAGGGGTTGCCCATGAATGAAGGAGTCGATAAAGGATGAAGAGCTATGTCAATGGAGTAGAACATCTATGTATTAGAAAGCCCAAAAGAGTAGAATTTTCTGAACTAATCGTGAGAAAGCGGTATGCACAAGTCAAAACCATCAGATAGAAGCCATAAAATGACATCTAGGAGTAAAAACCGTGTAGTAAAGTCGAATGATGAGTATGCAATCAGCAAAACCATATCATCGGCACCGGGAAGTGAAAGCCAGTAGGTAAAACCAGTAGTAAAAGCCAGAGTAGTGCATCATCCGTGAAGCAAAGTAGTAGAAAGGCATGCTTAAAGTCGTAAAATTGGCCAAAAATCCGCAACACGGGTGAAAACTGTCCATGAAAAAGCTTCAAAGCTTCCTTCCTATGATGACAAGAAGGATGCTCTGAGTAAAAATCCGGACATCACACCCTGAGAAATCAAAATTTAAGGCCCAAAAACGACCCAATACCTTTTAAAATAGCCTAATAACCACGACGAACGAAGACAGTGACCTTCCAGAGCATTCCGTGAACAGGACACTCGAGAATTTTGTAAGAGCGTCTCTTGTGCCACAAGCCCTCCGGATTCTCTTGGTGCTGAATGAAGCCCCAACGCTCTCCATTGATGATCTGCATGCCCTCTCGAACAAGCTGAGCGCCAATATCTGGTGCAGAAGTCAGAGTATTTTGACCCCTAGCCCAGAGAGGAACCTCGAGTTGAACTGGCCAGTAATACCATATAAGTTCCATATTATCCCTGGGCTTAGGGGCATTGGTGGAGGGAGAAATGGCAGTGTTATGGTAAGGATTCATGTACGAGTGATGTTGGTAGGGACCAAAACCTTGAGGATTCGACATTCCATACTGGAAAGGCTGTTGCGGAGGATCTACACGGAAGCGTTCAAGGCGAAACTTGACATTCAGCTGGAAGTTGGGTCGAAGAAAGCGTGGGAGAGGGATGGCGGTGCTTGGATCAATACTATAAGATGAGCCAGCATGCATAATGGGAGCAATGATAGCTTGAGAGGTATTGCTAGGAGGACCATTTGGATGAGGATGTTGTTGTGCAGCATTCTGTTGAGCATAACCACCACCAGCCTGGTAGCTTGCTTGTTGATTGAAGCCAGGTTGATGATTGGTACCAGTAACAGCAGTGTAATGAGTACTACCACCCGCAGCAGGTCCGGTTGGAGCTTGTTGCATGAGAATATGCTGTTGCTGGCCACCTTGCTGCTGGACGACTTGCTGTGCAATCTGCTGGGCATTGGTACCTTGACCATGACCAGCATGACCTCCAATGGAGGGAATTGCTTGAGATAGTGGTACATCGCTAGCGAAGTGGTTGGGGTGCTGGTTGCGGTTGGGCACCTGTGTATACGATGCTACCGTAGGATGCAGGATGTGGGCCACGAAAAAGGCCAAACGAGTGGTATATGCATGAACGCTCGGTTGAGGTGGAGCAGCAACACGCTGGCAGTTCTCGCAGCAGAAAAGAGCAGAAGACACCTGCATATTGTACTGAGAAGGAGGTGGGAGTAGTGGTTGCGGAGGTTGTGGTGGTTGTTGTGGTGGCCAGTTGTTGTTTGGATTGTACCCATGCTGGGCAGGGTTCCATGCACCACCAGTCCAGCCCTGGTTACCTCCATAGCCTTTATTCTGATATGGATCCATTATAAATTTATAGAAGGGGTTTCGAGATGGGTTTCGAGGTAGGTAGGGTGATTTTAGGTGGAGAATCGAAGGTCTGGAGAGCACAATAGTTAGCAAATACTCAATTATTTGGCCTTAATCGACCAAGATGAACTTACTGTAGGAGAATAAAGGCAGTTCAACGACGTTGGACCTGAAATCAAACGTCTAAAGAGTAGAATGGTTAATAAAAAGACAACGGGAGTCCTTGTAATTGGCTGAAAGGTACTCACTGTGAAAGACTCGAGGTCTATGAGCAATTAAACGTCGATTTTGAGATCGAGAACACCTTAGAAAGAAAGAATTGGGTAGAAAGAAGAATTTCTAGTAACGAGAATAGTTGAAAGAACGCAACTCCTTGAAGAAACACAAGGGTAGTCACAGATACGTTCTAGTTGAAGTATCTTGTAGTATGAGGGGTCTTGAAGGGGAAAAGAAGAGCCTGGTTGAAGGAGGAGGGATGGTATGTAGAGAAGAAGAAACAGAAAGTGGTCTACAGATCAATGGGGAAGCTTAAATAGAAGTCTTGATTGGAAATTCCAGCAAGCTAAACCATTAGCCCCGCCTCGAATCTACTCTACGGAACCTTCCTTGCCGTTAAATTCAATTGTTAAGGCCAAAGAAACAATTAATTCGTGTCTAAACTAGTAAATGACCAATATTACGGCAGCAATGTATATAGGGTTGTATTTTATGCCGCTAACATCCATTACCAGGGTCTAAGTGAGCGCCAGAATTCCACTAAACCTGTAAAGGACCTATTATCATAAGGTTGAGCCGCCTCAAAATCATCTAGTGACCTGCACTAAAGCTTATTTCGACTTCCAGATGATCAATGAAATCATTCACCTAATGCGATCAAGTAGGTTGTTTGATGACCCCATCTAAAACTACCATTCCGCTGCAATTTCACTCAACAAAATTCTCTCCGCCGCTCTTCAAAATCACTAGAAGCGGCAAGACGTATTCGGACCACTCAATGGCCTGTATTGGGGCTAAAACTGCCCAAAGTGACCAATAGTACCGCCCAAAAGCATCTTCGAATGGTGAAATAAATCATTCACTTTGGCATGAACCAGATTTAATCTAATTCTACCTAACAAGTACACTCTTACTTCAATTTTATTAAAATGTGACTCTTCCTATCATTCAGATCACGAACTGAGGTCAGAACAAGCTTTAACACGCGTCTAAATTATTCAATGGCCAATGATAAAGCTTAGATCTGGTATGATGGGATGTCTTTCGCTGCTTAAGCCGAGTCCCGAGGCTAAAATCGACGCTAACTCCTGTCTAAATCGCGCAAATTCTCGTCACACGGCTGAAAAATCCTTTAAGTAGCTCATTTACAAATGAAAAGCTTGATAGCCTATGATGTTGCTTGAACTGCGCCTCTACGTACCCAATGGCTGAACATGCGGCTCATCTCCACGTTTGAATTGCTCAAAGAATTCATGTTTTGACTTGATTGGCCCTTGAAACCATCTAATTATGAGTTTACTACTTGTTATTCTCTTGATTAGAGTAGTTGATGGGGCTGAAATGAATTATAAAAGCTAGCAAAGGCCTCAACGAGGTTTTAAATGACTAAATGAATGTTATTGGAACGTGGATATATCTTGAAATCACTTAATGACTTGTAATATATGTCGAAAACCCCTCTAAACTACTCAAGTTGCTTCAATAGCGCTACAGATTAGTCTTGAAAGAGTAATACTATTACTTATTCTATGGTTATCTATATATATCCCTCACCTTGAGCTAGATTACATTAAAATCTTCAGAAAGTACCAGTATTTCCGGGGTTTTATCTAGCTACTTGGAACTAATTGAAGATATTATTATTTCTAAATATATTTCAAAATCAAATTCTACTTTTCCTAGGTTTCTAAGAACTTCTCATAATTAATAGAATAAAGAATGAATAATTCCAAATTTTCCTTAATTCTATTTACTAGACCCCCTTCATTCTACTTCATTTCTCGTGTAATATTACCCCAGACACTAAATTCACTATATATATCTATTAAATTAGAGTTTAATTCATAAATAATATAGTATATAGTTAGTAATGATTGTTATATAATAAGAAATAAAACATATTCTAATTTGTTTTATATTGACTAGAAGTTGGAGACTCTGTACATTTGAGGGAAATCTTCTTTATTATAGATATAGAGATCTTTTCGAAAATCGATATACTCTTTTTATAGATATTAGTATATAGAGATAAGATATAGAATAACTTTAAGTATTTATTAAGCTCAGTATTCTCAAGTGTAATAATAGAGCTGTTGTAAAAAATAAACGTCTTCGTATGATATTTATTCCTCTATATCAATTGCGAACTATCTTATAAAGTATTTTTTATTTCTTTTCTCATATTATATAACTATTCCGAGTAATTTCAAGTTTTTGAAATTAGTGTTTTGAGAGTTGTGTTAAAGTGAGTAGAAAATAAAATCTCTTCACGGTGTATTTTCTAAGTTTTCATACTCGAGTATAACATCGGCTTTGGATTAAACTTCCGGAAAGAATTATCTAAACTATTTGAATTTGAATTTGATTATATTTGATTATCTATTTAATCATCATACATTTTATCAAAAAAGTTGTTTTTGTAATACTAATTCTCGAGGTCGGTTTCTTCCTCGATATTCTCTTACGAAATGCTTTTTATTCTACCGTGTTACGATTTCTCAATACCTTGTACTCTCATCAAGAGATAATAAGTATATTTCAATTTCTCTCGAAATTTATATCCCTCAATTAGTATCAGGAAACCAGATTTCCTAACAAGGTAATTACAAGTTCGTAGCGCCGTCTTCAACTCAAGTGCATCCCATGATCTCAAATTCAAATTCAAGTTCACATTCCTTTCCACGCCGCTTCAATCTCAAATTCTCTGCAAGCTCAAGAGATTTTCTCTCACAGCCTCAAATGACCTATCGTTTATCTTTCATCCATTAACTATTCACTACTCGGCCTTCGGACTTACCCCTAGCCCATATCAGAGTTTTTCTCAAAGGAAATTTCCTTTGGGTGAATCACCCAGCCAACTTTCAAGGAAAATTTGAAAGACACAGCCCGTCACTCAATAAGACATGAGGTGATATTCTGAGTTCCAATGAATTTGTTGTTGGGAAAAAGGATTCGGGAACTTTCCATAGAGGGGTAGAGGGTCAACCTCGGATGACTTCGGATGGGGTGAGCACTGTTGTATCATAGAGAAACCAGATATATTAGGTTCTGAACTCGGGAAAGGTCGGAAATAAGGGATGATGGGTTCTGGTTTATAAATTTGAGTCTTGGCTTGTGGGAGTGAATCGTTGTGGGTGGATGAAGTCGTGAAAGAGGATAGAGGTGGGAATAGGAAATGAAATGTTTGTGATAGAGGGACCTTGTGTAAGAATATGATCAAGGGAGTTATTAATCAAGTTTGGATATTTAGGTTAGTGTTTGGATTTCTCTGGTATGAAGTTGTATGAAGTTTTGCTTTCTATTGGTGTGTTGAGGTACACAATTCTGACTTAAATACTGTATTATGGAGATAGATAATGAGTACACAATGCAAGGTTTTGCAGATGATTGCGATTTGGGTTTCCCGGACTCAAAAGGCCCCAAGTCGCGCTATCACTAGTTCCCAGACCAGAATCAGTAGACAAAGATACGTAGCTTTCACACATTGCTGCGGCCATACCTTCCAAAGCTGCGTAGTTGAGGCCGGCTTGCCAGCCGTTACCTCCAATGGCTTGCATTCGACCGTTCCATTCTGTAGATGGCAAGTAGACTTGTACGTTGACTATATTATTAAGACCGGGATGAGTGTAAGCTATAGAGACATTGCAAAAGTTTGCTGCTTGAATATCGACAGCTCCATGATTCATATATAGACCCATCGAGATAGTGCGAGTGTAATTAGTGACTTGATTGGCGTGGAAAGATAGGATCTCGGCCCCAAAGAGACTTGGCGCAGGAAGAGATGAACATGCTAGCACAGCGATGGAATTGAATGACATGTTAGAATAAATCGAGATTCGTATTGCTTTTCCATGAATGAGAGGGAGTGGATGTAGATACTTCTGAAAAAGAACGAGCAAGAGAATAGTTGAATAGATTTTGGAACATACTGTCCTCATGTGAATCCTAGTCGTAGCGCATGAAGGCATATATAAGGGGTGTATTCATCAAGAAATTATATCTCTTGTTGTGAAGAAGGATTGTAGTAAAAGTCGGACCGCTATCAAATACGAGTATTCGCCAATCCCTCATAGTCACAAATTAGCGGGTCGAATATTACTGAATTCGCGTATTCCAACTACCACTGTAGCACTGCCACGCCTTTTGATATTACGGTTCTCTGACCTCTATAGTTGTTGGAAAAACTCTATAAGGTGTAGAAAGCAATTTAATCAAGAACGTAGAATTCGTTTGAAGTAGTATTGCGAAAAGCTATCCGAGGCTAATGTGAATTCTATTTGATGACTAAGGTGGCCAACTAATTTGACGCGCCTTCCGGTGTATACACCTGTGGCATATATAAGGGTTTAAGGTTATAAATTCATTCTGTATACCTCCCTTCATTATTTTGGTCTCGCAATCTTTTCATTTGTATTAGTTAAACACGAGAATTTATAATCATAGCTCGTAGGGGTATATTTGTAACACATAAGGGTGTCGGAAAAGGATTCGATAGTAAATCTCTGCGTGCTGATGGCTCCCAGGAAGGCTCAGGGAAAGTGATCGGAATGTACGAGAACTTGGAGTTATTTTGGGGCTCTGTTGAGAACCTTTCAGCACTTGTAATAACAATGTATTTATACAATGATTGGATGAGCAAGTAATGTAAAATGCATTAAAATCTGTCCCCACTTATAGCCTTTGAACGAATCATATCACGACGCTGGTTAGAAACTTATTATATGATGAACTCTAGCTGACGGAAGTATGTAAACATCTCTTAAAATCATTTAGATTAGATCTCATTTAAAATAGTATCGAATATAAATACAAGATCTAATCATTATGCTGAAATGTGTTTAACCTCTCTGCCTTTTTATTTCACTAAGTATATTCAAAAGAGTAAGCAAACGCCGAGTTCGAGGAAACCACATTTGTATAACAATGCGAGAGTCTTACGAAAAAGTGGTCCAAAAACAGATACCCCATATCTTCTAGTCATGAGTTTGCTTACACATGATTCGACGTGGAGTTACCAGCAGTCAGCATCAACACTTCTAGGAATCGCCAACATGGCTTCACACAAGCTACCGTTTTACCCAGATCACAACTTCAGATTAGATTTACTCTCCTGTCCAAGATTCATAATCCCACTTTAGGTCAG